AATTTGCGAAACCACAAAATACACACGCAACCTGGATGAAATTCCCTTCTGGTCAAAAATTTTTCAACTGTCCCAGCGACCTCGCCTGGGAAACCTCGTCTGACACATGTAAATGCGTGCTGACAGCCAGAAGGGAAAAGAATAAGTACAATGCCAGTGAGAAATAAAAGAAAACTGTCAACAAAATTAATGTCATGCGTGTGCAATGCAATGAAAAATTATGGGCCGGCTTTATGTCAATAACAAAAGGGGACAGACGCGCAGAAATCCAAGTGTGCAAAAACCGGGGAGAAGCATAACCTGAACAATGATTGATTTGACAGGACGACAGAGAGCGACGAGCTTGGCCTATGCAAAAAAAAAAAAAAAAATGACGCAGACCCACAGAACAAGTGCAAATGGCTGTCAACTCGGATGTGGACGCCTCGGGTTACAAGCCCACTAATGAAGGCAAATAATATTAATACTTGTGGAGAGGGCGGAGAACGCTGCGTGTTCCTTTTTCCTCCAGGAATATTATTTTCAAACCATTTGTCAACATTTGTCAATTCTGACAGCACACGCCCGCCAACATTTGCCCCTTTGGCAGTGTTACCAACGTCTCCCCCTCCGCCATCCATTTATTCTTTCATTTATCCATCCATCCATCTATCCACCCCACTAGCATTGACAGCTCTCGGGGTGCCTTTTCCAGTTGGGCGGGCAAAAACTTCAGGCCCTCTCTACGCGAAATTAATAACATGTACAAACAAAAACAACTGAGCCAAAATACTTATCACCATCCGGAAACCAAACGACCGTGGCGACAATTGTGTGGGGTCCTTGATGGTTATAAGAAGGGGCCATTTCCTTTGGGGGTAAGAGAAGGGAAACCCTTTTATGTTAGAAAATATATAAAATCGGAGGTATACTTATAAGAAAAGGAAAAGGATAAAAAAGGATATTATCGGTATCTTTGAAAATTGAACAAATTTTTTATATAATATATCATAAAGTATCCGACGGATTCGCTTACAATTGAATGATTTAAAGACTATCCAATCACTGAAAGATGGATTTTCTTATATTATATTCTAAATTGTTATATTTTAAATTAAACTATCAGTTTTATTTATTTATAATACATTTTAGAACCCTTAAGTTATTCTATTGGTCTTGATTATAGGTCCAATTAAAAATAGCCTTTCTTAGGGTTTTTAAAATATTATTTACCCAAACTATTTTCAGTCTCTACACCTTTTATAATCCATCAAAATATATTTGATTTCATTAAAATACATCAACGCTTTGCCAGTGAAGAGGAACTTTCAGGCAATTTCACCAACCCAAAAACAGGGTCAATCTTCTGCCTGGATATTGGATGGATGGAAAGCCACATAGTGGTATCGAATTTCGAACAGATTTCAATTTGATTTTACCCGACTATATGGTATACATATCCCGTACACATATCCCTCTATAATTCATAGCCCCGGGGAATGGCAAAGAGGAGGTGTGCCAAGGGGTGGTTTTTGCGGCGGCCGTGAATAAAGCGATTTGTCTTCTTTGTTGTTTACGTTTGGTGTTATAAATTCTCGTTCCAAAGACTTGGCCGTACGTGCTCCGGTCGCTCCGGTATATGGAATTGCCTAAAAATTATTTGTGCATAACAGGGGATAATCATAAATCTGGCTAATTGCACTTTATTGGGGTCGCTCCCGGCCCGACATGGCCAGAGAGAGAGAGAGCGGTGTCACGGTGCCGGGCGACCAGTTGGTGGTGGCTATAGCTGACTATAGCTGGGCATCGTTGTCTCGGCTCATAAGGGTAAAATTGAATTTGACATGCCTGTGAGCGAGGCATTAAATCTGAAAAGTCTGCACTGTGCCGGAAATGGCAACATATAAATTTACAGCTTTCTGACGATTCTGTGACATTTGATATGGCTAATGGTGTTATGACACTCACTGTGAGTTCTTTGTATTTCTTTTTAGAGCGTGATTTACATTTTGTTAAGGGGGATGGTTACTAAGGGGTATTTTATAGTAAACTAACTGTTAAATTGGGTAGAGAAATATTTATTTTAGTGGATTTTTTAAATATGTATAGCTTATTGATTTTTAAAAGTTTAAATTGTTTTACTTTCAACTGATAATTTGAAAATAATTCCAACTTCTCTAAGTTTGTAGTACACCATTCTTGTATATATATTTCAGGGGTTATCTATTCAAGCTCCAACCAACTCATTATGATGTTCACAAATATATTATTCTTTCTCCCAGGCACTTGACAAATGAGAATCATTGTCGACCCATAATTAGGTGAGCATTTTCCGGGAGAAAACGATAAAATTATATATGCCATCGGGGAGAATGAGAATGAAGATCCCGGGACTTCAGTGCAGCGTCTTCCAGAGGCCACAACCACCATACACTTTTAATGAATTTGAGGGAATCACAGAAAGACAGATAGGCCAGAAAACCAAAACGAGGCAGCAGCAGCAGCCATCGGCACAGATTCCGTGTGGAGGTAACGTGGCTTTTGATCTTTGCTGCGTTTGTTTGTATACAATTTGATGGCTCGTGTTGATGGATCGTAAACGTGGAATGATGTTCGCACTGCTGCTGCTGCTGCTGCTGCTGCTGCTCCTGCTCCGTCGAACGATGACGATGATCAACGCAACGATGACGGCACAGTGGGTCTTTGATCATTCGCCGCGCCAGTTGGCAGTCAAAATGTTAATTTATATGTTCTGCTCCCGCCTACAATCGGGAGATCAAGTATATGGCAGGGCTGCCGGGCTACGGGCTAACAACTTTACAAACATGTTTGAGATTTTTATTACTGTGTGAAAATGTTCGATTCTTCCGTAAAATCCGGCGAGGCAGGATCAAACAAATTTATGGGTGGGCGCAGCCAGATCTGGCAGGCCAGATCAGTCAGTGCGAGAAAAACTTTTCATTGTGATTGATGGATGCCTACCGCAAAAACAGCGGCAACACATTCCCAGAGGGATTTTTTGATTATAGACAACTTGTCGGTGGATTTTTATTATTGTGGAAATCGATCAAACCACTTGACGGCTGATCAAAGACAGCTCTGGGCTACCAGCGAACACATCTCGATATCTTTCGTATTTTAGTGAGCGTATTTTTTATACGATTTAATTATTGTGAATTTCGCTTTTCATGGTTTACAATGGAAAACAAAATCAATTACGATTTTCGTTTGCTGAGTTATGAAGATTTGCTTCGTGTAGCTGAATCAGTTTAAATTAGGTGTTTTGTCTTAAAATTTATTCTTAAGAGTTTTAATATATGTAAAATCAATAACCTAATTAAAATAAAGTGCTATTCGTACTATTCTCTACCACAACATAGTTATTTATCTGATAGACCACTTACTTGATTTCTCTGCTCTCGTTCTACAATAAAGCAAAACTTGCCCAAGCCAACTGAGATATGTCCAGAAAAAGACAAGGACAATAAGACGCCGAGTCCAAGGAGGGGAGCCTAAGCTGGTCCGATTGTCTGGCTGTCGTCTTGGCCACATACTCGGTCCGTCGGGCAAGAGGAAACATTTGTCTCGCTTAATTTAAACAGATTTGCGAGATTATTGTCATGCCGACGTGGAACGTTGAGGCAGCAATTTCAATTCGACCGCGGAGACAGCCCGCAGTGCCAGCTGAGTTGAGGGGATCCCCCTTAGGCCGGGCGGGAAGAAAGTCGCCGGGCAAGCCAGAGCCAAAGCGAGCCAAGGCAAATCTCCTGACAGCAGCGCGCCGGCAACTTTTAATGTTTCTTTCTTTTGCCGGCCCCGATTTCCGAGAGTGGGATGTTTGGATTGCAGAACAAATTTGCAGAGAACGTTATGCAAGTGACAGGCGACAGATCTGGGGATCTGAAGAATGCTGCTGACGCTGCCGCGGATGACGATTCCCTGCACAAGCCATATTTAAGGGGCTTTGAAGTTGCGCCGCTCAGCTGGAGGTGTCTGAGGCGCGAATCCAACTCATGTCGAGCTCGACGCGATCGGAGCATGTGCCGCGCTCCCAGATGAAGCCTTCCAGATCAAGCTGGCAATCTGACGGCTCTGACTGATGCGGATCCAGATGCAGATGCTGATGCAGATGCAGATGCTGATGTTGATGCTGCCGGTGCTGTCTGCCTGCCCACTTTTAATAATTAATGAACGGGAATGAGTTGGAAAGCTCGTGTTGCACACTAGGAAAAACTTGGCTAAAACTGGTTTTTAATAAAGAATTTTTGAGAAAGTAATTTCTTAAAAGTCAATTCTAGTTATGGCCTCCTCTTCACCTCATTACCAATTGAAAAAGTAATCATCTGTATAATCTTTACGTAATTTAATTTTAATATCAAATTCTAACTACATATTTTCATCGTGTTTTCTTTCTTATACAACTTCACCCTCTCATCTAATAATTTTTTTTTTTTTTTTTAATTTATTATAATAGCAAAGCTTTTCTCCAAGTGCACTCGCTTGACAGCCTGACCAGCTAACTGCCTTAGACAGCTACTCGTTTCCGGAAGTTTATCTCCATTGCAGCTCAACAGCAGCTGCTTGAAAGTCATTAGACTCCGTCAGCCTTGTCACTCAGCCTCCGCTTGGCTGCGGCTTCGAGCTAAGACCCACAGTCTCCGAGACTCAGAGGCTCCTCCCAGAGACTGACATTTGATCTTGCCTGTCAGCCGGAGTCATGTCAAGCTATGTTTGGACAGACGACTGAAGTAAATCTAATGTCTTGTGAAAGACAACCTTCAAGACGGTTGCTCTTATTTAACCCTTTGGGAAAAGATCTCGCTAGATCGATTTACCCAATTAGATCAACTTATTTGGTAAACGAATGACTGTTTGAAAATTCTTAATGATGCCGATATTAAAATATTAAATTAATCTCAATTTTATATTATAAATGCAGGAATATTATGTGGGTATTATGACATGTAACCCATTAAAATAATAAATTAAGTAATCTAGCATATCAACTTATCCATGAACAAAACCTCTCATACTTCGAATTATTGAATTCTGAGAACTTAAAGTTTACAGAATATTCAAGAGTTACAAGTAAATCGGAAAATGTTACGACTTTGTCGATCATTTGTCTCCCAGTGCGGATGCCACATGAGTCGCCGTTGTCACGGCACCTTATCCAATCCAGAGACACATGTCCACACGGTCGAGGAGGTAGAGGAGTTGCCGAAGCCCGAGGAGAGACTCAGCGAACGTTACTTAAAGTTCCGGGAAAAGTTGCGATCGAATGCACCTCTAACTCCCATGCCCGAAGGTGCACCGCATCCGGCTCACGAGCAGGAGCCCCTCGTGCCCTGGCCCAACGGCGTTAACCCACATACCGGGGAAATCGGAGGACCTGCGGGACCTGAACCCACGCGCTATGGCGACTGGGAGCGCAAGGGACGGGTCACGGACTTCTAGCAAACAGCATCGAAGTATCTCCACCTCGACACCTTTGTTTGGACAATTCTGATTTATTAACCGTGTTAACAACAGAAGCACTCACAATTGGTTACACTCACGATAGGATGGGCGAGGAAAGTCTGTTCTGCGCCACGGTAGCCCGGGAATCCAGATCAAGATGAAGTAAATCAAGATTCCCCTAACCGGTGTAAGAGCGCTTCTGCGAAGGCATTACATAAATTTCTATTGTGTGATTTCTTTGTGGTTTCCGTGGAGGGGATTTATGTTGGGCCTGCCATCAAAAATAAATTGATAGCCCTTTCTCTCGCTCCGCGAAGGGGTTCTCAGAATAGAGAGTGCCAGCCCGCCAGTTGTGGTTGAGTCTTCTGCCTCTACTTCCATTATTTATGGTTCAGGGGCAGAGAATCGTGCCTAAATTGAAATTATTTGGAGTGATGTTGGGGCCTTGGTTGAATCGTTTCGATTCTTTTGAAATTAAGGCGACAGTTTACGTGATTTTTATTAGAAAAACTTCTGTGCGTCTTGGGTATCTGCTTCTAATTTTGTAGCGTTTGAAAGGGGTTCCTGTCCTCAATACCATAAATTTCTTTGTTAAGGCCCTGAAAAACGTTTTCGCGGCTTCGGAAATTGGTTACAAATTTACGAGAAAGATTTGCAGCTGTTTTCGTTCGCCGCTTTGTCTGTTGACATTTTTGTGGGATTAACGCTGGATTTCCTAATGAACACAAATAGAAATTACTGAAATGCTTTCCGTAGCCTGTAAATCTTTTCGAACTAATTGACAAACTGATGCGCTAATGGCTTTTTAAAACCTAACATTTGTCAAGTTTTAAAGATTTTATAAGGAATTTAGGTATTGATGTAAATGATTGTGGTTGAGTTGTCACAAGGAGTCTTTAAGTAAATAAGAAGTCTTTAATTAAATAAATAATTATATTATTATATATAAATTTAGGTAAATATAAGAACGGCTTCTTCCTTGATCACTACTTAAGCTGTCATTCCGGTTGTTTTCAAAATCTATTTACATCCTTAACAAGTTGCCGACGGCGGCAAAATGCCAAAATCAAAGATCAATCACAATCCAACAATCCAAAAAAAAAAAACAACAATCGCTCGAAAGAAAGATAAATTCCGCATAAATTCCAGGAAATCCACAAAATACTTTAATGTACATACAATTCCAAATCCCTTGGAAATTACACACCCCAGCTGACTCTCGAAATCCACAAAATCCCAGCATCGACAACTTGCTCAACGCCCAGCGCTCAACAGACGCGTGAAGCGACGACTTCCTCCATAGTCATCCATCAAATGCGATTTTCCAACTTGGAGCGAGGGGCAGGAGCCCCAGGAGCGGCAATTATTTCGTCTATTTTATTTTTAAACGAAATTAACGTGTTGCTTGTTGTTGCTAATGTGTTTTTATTACGTGAAAAGCAAGGAAAACACACGCACACAGCGATGCTCTCAAGATCATTTTATAACCCCAACCGAACGTAACGGAACGGAACCGATCCGTACCCTTCTCCATTTCGCCGCTTGGTCGCAGAGTAGTAGGCGCTGATTGATAGAACAAAGTGAAAATCAAATAAAAAACAAAACATAAAATCTGGACACGCAGCCCATTCCCCATTCGAGCGAACCGCATTGCGGCGCAAGATCAAAGACCGCCCCTCGATCTGTAATGACAGCTTTGATCATTGTTTTGCCTTTGATTTTTTCCGGATACGTTTCTCTCGCACTTGCGCCGTGCTCTTTTTTCGGCCGCCGAGTGCTCCACGTCCACCAGGCGATCATCAGTCTTGTTGGCCCGCGATCTCTCGATCATAACGAAAGTACTTGGAATTGTGGGAACCGCTCGGGAGGGGGCTGTTTACGATCGATTTCGCACCTACTTGAGAGATTTCGCTGAGGCGAAATATTTTACAACTGCCAAAAACCCAGCGCAGAGGGAAGATTGAGGGATGTCTGGGATCTACATTCCAGACCAGAGATGACCGTTCAGAATAGCCGAGTTCCATTTTGAGCATTTGGTTTTTTACATAAGGCAAAAAAAACGATATATTGATACTTTATGGATGTATTATGTATGTGAGAAGATCTCACTGAGAAACAATATATTCAGAAATAGATATGATCTCCTAATTTAAAAAAATATTAGGTTTTCATCAAAACTAGCAGCAGGAATTGCCAAGATATTATCATATTATCATAGTCTCTTTTACAACCTAAATACAAGTTAATAAACTTCATTTAATCTTAATTACAATTATAAATAAAGTAAACTGTGCCTGGTAACCTGTAAATGTCTACCATTTTTATGATGTAGGAAAAGACCAAGGGGAAAAGCTGGAGAAATTTCGAGAAAAATACGAGTGCCACAGGAAGCAGCGGGTGTTTGGTGGGAAATCAGCTAAATATATGGCCAACTATTATGTTATTGCGTGAACGTGCACTGATTTCACCAGCCGGGCTTTTGTTCACGTGCAATATTTTGTTGGGCGCCAAACACACGGGGTTTCCACCCCAGCGCTCCTGCTCCGTACCATTCATCCTTCGTCCTTCCGCCCACCACTTGCCCGGGGAGAGGGCGTCTTATCGGAGCGTATAACATATATCATTGACACTTTGACATTGCCAGCTTCGCGGGGGAAGAGCTCTGTGGCGGGTGGCGTGCTGGCGAGGTCCAGGGCCATGACCAACAGGATTTTAGTACTTTTCAAAATGGCACTTAATCATGGCAGCCGCCTGGCGCAGGAAAATGCGGAAACTGGCAACACACACACACACAGACACCAACAACAAGGACACAGGGCCACCAAGACGTAATCGCATGTGTTCACGCTTGAAAGGATAACGACGACATGGCTGGGAATCGCTATTGGAACTCCCGCTGATTTCCCGCCCCGCCCGCTGCCCGTCGCCCGACCAGAGCGAAACAAGATTAATGACTTGGCAAAAGGAACTCTCGGTGCGAAAGTGTGTGCGAGAGTTGGCTGCTCCTTCCTGGCATCCGATAAATTGTTTGCTACTTGGACTGTCATTAGTCGAAAAGTTTGTTTGTTATTGTGTTAAGTGTTATTTGTGCGCTCACGTCCAAGTGTCAGGCTCTTTGGCATTTCTTTCACTCTTTCCCAGCCTCTCCATCGTTTATCACTTTCGTTCTCCTACCAAAGAGGGATAATATTCGCCTGTCACAGATGACTCGTACCTTCCATCCCGCTAAGCCAGTGATGACCGCAGAAAAAATGAGTGGAAAAAATGACCAAAGTCGGGGAAAAATAAAGAGCGATGGAACTTCCTTAATGATGGCGGAGTGACTTTTTAAAAAATGAGAGATTTATTGTTATAATATCCTTGTTGCTGCAGGGCCTAAATAAATAATTCAGGAAATGAAACCGAGCTGTGCTATTATTATTTATAATCTTAAATTATTTTTATACTATATCCTTTCACATTGGACTTTTTACGAAACCACAAAAAGTGCAATAAATTCATTAGCGAAAAACAGCTCAAGATGTGAGCGGGGATCGAGAAGCATAAACAGGAAGCAGTACTACAATTTACAACCTAAATCAAATGCAGTTGAATGACCAGCACAGACGCCATAAATCACTTGGCCACTGTGCTCCAGTTGAGACCCTCGCCAGACGCTGGGTCGCGTTGCCAGCCAATATTTTAGAGAGGAAACCCACCCAAGTGGCCGGGAAAACAACGGCGGGGCAGGATGAAACCCAAAACGAAACGGAACCGGCAAGGGAAAAAATATGTTATCAAATAAAAATGTTACAAGCGACGACAGAGGATTGGCGGCAAGGCGAACCGAACAACAAACCCCGAAAGGAAAGAAATGTGTTGCACAAATTTATTAGAAACCTTAACTAACGAGCAATATCCTCAGTGGATGGCGGCTGTCGGCTGTCGGCTGTAAGGGTGGGCCCCGGTACAGAGTGAAGTCCCAGTGATGTGTCAAATGTTAAGACATTACAAAGCACTAAAAGGCACAAGGACAAGCCCCAGCAGAGCGGCAGGAGGTGGCCGCTGAGCAACAGGAAAACAAATCGAACGTGTGCCCAATGCCATCAATCTTTTGTTTTTATTGCCAGACCAAGGTCCCTGTCGAGCGCTTCTCGGGAATCCGCAATCCACAATCCAGAATCCAGGATCCAGGATTCACCGGGCCTGGGCCAGGGGTGCTGGGACATGTGTGCGACAGTCAGGATGGGACTTGTGTGTGCCCGACATTAACTCGACAGGATAACAAATCTGTTAAATGTGACAAACGAGCCAAATGCGCTGGTGTGTGCTTGTTTGTGTGTGTGTGAGCCATCTGAGAAGAAAGGCAAAAGGCCAGCCGGAGTCAAGTTATGTGGGCGGAAAGACAGCCCTACTCCGTCCTCACTCATGTCCTGTGGTGCCTCCATTGACCTCTTCCCGCTGCGCAGCACTGATCCTATCCCATCCGATCTGCTCTGCTCAGCGCTGTCACTGCCTAACGATGATTTCATGGTGGTCAAAATGCAATAAATTTTTATTGTCACCTATTATTGAGCGACTTATAGAAGTCCAGTACAATACAACCGAAATGGCTGGAAATTTATGACCGAACCTATTGGCCTGCTGCAATTTCTTTCCTTTCAGCCTGCTCATTGTGCATGCATGTCACACAGGTCCTGTCCAAGGTCCTGCCCAGGACCTGACAAAGATATCCCGCTGCGTTTGCGCTTCGAACTCATGGCAGTTTTATTAACATGTTTACGATCTTAAGCGACCCTGACACAGATTTTATGAAGACCCTTACGGTCTTATAATGAGAGAAAGATTATTGTTTTACCATGGGGGAAGATTTCTGATATTAAGGAGTTCTTTCTGGACCAACTCTAGCAAGTCATCTTAAGATAGTCAAGGCTAAAATGTATACTCTTTTATAATATATATAAAAAGTAACTCTATATGAAATATATTATCATGTACTTACATACGGTTTTCACCAATTAAACCTTACAGATTTCCTCTCCCGACTTCAACTCGTCCAACTAATCATATAAATTAATAACCCAAAAACGTACGTTTTATTTATGTTATAATTTCCACAGCTACAATCCCATAATCCTCTCGAAACCCCAAAAACGCTTCTTATGCAGACTAATTTATTTTAACATTTTTCACACTAAATGCCATAATTTATGATAGCGGCGGCATTTTCATTTTCATGCCCCTTCAACCTCCT